GTCAGTCAACAGATTATTAGCCTTGTCTCTTCGAAAGAGAAGTAAAATGACAAATAGACCAGCCCACTCTCAAATTTAATTATGTATGTGAATCACCTGGGGTTCTTGTTACAAAGCAGAATCTGATTCAGAAGAGTTAGGGTGGGACTGGGAAGTCTGCCTTTCTAACAACCATGTCAATTCTCATAGTCTGTGGACACCCTTCCTGAAGGTTTCTCTCCAGGTCTCTTGCAAATCTGTCATCCTGTGTCTCAGTAAAATTTTCTGTTTTTATAATCTCTTTCTTAGCTCACTCATTTATTTTCCTGAAGAACAGCTTCAGTATGTTTTAAAGGGTATATAAGAGGTAAATTCTCTAAGTCCTTTTGTGACTGAAAATGTCTTCATTCTACCTTTGCATTTAATCAATACATTGACTAAGTATAGTATTCTAGGATAAAATTAACTTTTCCTCTGGGGTTTGAAGGAGTTTCTCCATTGTCTTCTAGCACTAATGTTTTTAGAAGCCTGATGCCATGCTGATTTTTATTTTTTTTTGTAAATGACCTGTTTTTCCTCTGTGAGGGCATTTAGAATCTTCTTTTTATCCTTGTGCTTTGAAATTGCACAGTAATGTGTGATTTAAGCTGGACAGGACAGGGATAGAAATTTGATTGGCAAAAAAAATGAGGAAAGAGTCTCCATGGTAATAACTAGCACAAAGGTGCAGAGGTGGGAATTTGCAAGAGAGCTTGGGAGATTTAAGAGAGTCAACTCTCAAACCCAGCTCTTGAACTTAGCTTGAGTGATGCTAGGTGGGTTATGGAATCTGTCTAAGTTTCTTTCTGCTCTAGAAATAAGAATATTGACACATACCTCCCAGGGTTGTTGGGAGGATAAAATTACATATTGTAAAAATAAAATTAAAAATTTTTTTTTTTCTCAATAGCAGGTGTGAGAATTCCTTAAAGAGAATAGATTCACTTTTATTTTAATCTTATCACATGCTTTGATAAGCCCTTAGGGAGAGGGTGCTGGGTAATGTGTTCATATAACAAGAGGAAGAGAAATGTTACTCTTCATAATAAAGGATGTTGGGAATATTTCACACAGAAAAACAGGGAACCAGGAAAGGAAATACAAATGAGCTGGGCCAAATACTGTCTGGAAAACTAATCAGGAAAGACCCATCTTTCTATTCTCCGATTTTAGTTGGACTAAAGAAAATCTTTGGAGAGAACACAAATGTCTGATGGGAATAGACATCATTCCTGTGTGCTATGAGACATAAATCTCCTCTTCTATCCCTTTTATGAAATCATACTTCAATTCCACACTCTTCAGTAACAATTTTTTATGTGAGTTGACTTTTGTTGAGGGCAACTCAAAGAGGTGGGTAAAAAAGGTAGCACCTGAATAATATGTGTGAAGCACTTAGCATAAAGCGTGGCACAGAGCAAGAGCCAAATATATATTTTTTATGTTTTACTCTTTCTATCATTCTTAGTATTACAATTATTTGGTGTAGTTATCACACTATGCAACCTTAACGATGTAACAGAAACAAGAAAACTTTGCCTTGTAATCTGTGATCCAGTTACTGGTTTCAACTTGTACATCCTTATTTTGTGTTGAATAATTATAAAACAGACTGAAATTAATTTTTTTCATGTTTATATTTTTAGATGTGATTAATCTTAATTTGAAATAGGAAGACAGAAGTAGAAAGAATCACGGGCAGTAGAAATCCCTTTCTTGTGCCTCTGTTGCTTTCCAAAGGAGTAGTTGATAGGTAGAACTGAGGAGTTTTTAAAGGAGGGCAACATTCTATTGCTGACAATCTTTATTTTGCATCATTAAAGCAATGCTTTTCTACCTCCATGCAGCCATTCCAACTTCTAGGATCCCCATCACCATTATTTATGATTGCTCACAATTCTCTTTCAATTATCATCTCAGATTCTCTTAGAAACCAATCAGTCAAAATCATAGATGGTGCTCCATAAATATTTGATGTATCAAGGAACAGCTGAGAAGTAACTACCTGGCTCTTGAGAGCCTACACTTAGTTTACGTCCTCAGACTGCTGAAACTTAGTACATTCTAAGGTTTTTGAGGATAAAATCTTTACACATTGGTATTTTTCTAGGAGATAGGAGATTTAAAAATAATAATGATAAAAATACAGGAGGGTTTAATGCATACAAAACAGGCAGCTGAGTCATTATTATGGGTCTCTCAGATTTCCCCCATGTGAGAGATCTGAGCCTGAGTTTACACTTGAGTCTCCACAGCTTCCTGAAGCCTACACTTGGATATCCTGTGACCATAACACCAGCAATTTACCTAGCCTGGAATTATTCTCATTCTTAATAAAGGAGTTTTTGCTTCTGCCCGATATACAAAGACGTGTAATTATCCAATGAGATAATGTATGCAAAGTGCCTGGATACATAATAGACCTTTCTCGAATGCTAGTTTCCTCCATGTTATCTCCCCTGACCAAGAGGAAAATACAATCGTTTCTTATTACTATAAACAGCAGACAAAAGGGATGTGGACTTAATTTTTACAGTAATAAAGTTAGATTAAAGAAAGAGTGTACTTTGACCACAGGAGTGATGAAACAACCAAGAAGACAGGTTATGGATAATTTTAAAAATAGGACTGGCCCTTTTCTTGCTTAGAAACTGAAAACAAGAACAATGTATTAGTAACATGGATTAAGGGTCCCATCATGTCAACAGTACTAAATGAGATACTGTGTTGTTTTTCAAAGGAATAAGAACATGTGATTTATTACAAAAAAGGATTTCCAATATGAAGATAGTCATGATCAAACAAAATTCAAATATCTAAAAGAACATAAAGAACAAACAAAATCTCATAGACAAGAATTATGTGGCATTTTGTCTATGCTTTGTTTTTGATGTTAACTTTATGTACATGACTGGAAAGATATATTTCTTCCAAAGCCTTAACAACAATTTGGTAATAATTACCATATTTTCCAAAATGTCTTAACACTATTATACTTTCTAAAGGATTTAGTCCAGCAACTGTAAATCAGAAATCTCTACCTTTTTCCTTTAGTTGCTAATGTTCTATTTGAATCTAAGATTATCACTTAAGTAATATGTGAGAACTGCTTCCCCAGGTACTCATTTAAAAATGACATTTGTGTGTAAAATTATTTATTTTCATTTTCAACATTAAAAAAAAGACTTTCTGATTAGCCTCCTATTTCAGCATTTATAACACTATTGATTGTTCTTGTTCAATATCTCTTTCCTACTATATGATTATTTCTTGAAGGCAGATATTGTGCATTGGCTATTCAAAGTTCCTGGTTCAGTGTTTGAAGCATAGTAGGGGATAAATAAATTTTGTGAAATTAATAAATAATGAATTATGCTGTAATAAAATCCTATGTAAAGCTAGGATTCAGAGGAGTTTAAAATCAATGGCATGAGGTACAGTATAATCTAAAGAGGAGTTATTGAGGGAAAATCTGGTAGAGATCATTTTTCAATATACAGAGATAGGTGCATTGTGGCATCTTAACTGTCTGGCTATCAATTCCCCAGTTCAAAGTTCATAACAAAAATAAAATAAAGTCAGATATCCAGAGAGTTTGGGGATGGTTTAGCCTGGTGGCCTTTTATGGGTGCAATTTATTTTTACAGTAAAGAGAAGAACATGGAATCTTTCCAGAATAACCTGATTCCAACAGACTTAAATAAAGTTGTTCATTCTTTCAAGGTTTTTTACATACTTCTGTCTTTCTAGAATGTGAATTTCCATTTCCCAAAAGCCCTAGTGCCAATTTTAATGATCCTATACACGTGATGTTCTTTTTTTTTTTTTTTTTGGTTTCTTTGCTATTAGTGAATGACAAGTGAGGGATATTCATTTCAACTTGAAAATGTCAGGTATGCACTTTAAGAGACATATTTTTTGCAGCTTTTAATGAGGTGGTGTTTCTTTTTGAAAGAAATACTCATCTCTGATGGGGATGCTGTGCAGGTGACAACTGATATTTAATAAGCGATGGTTCTTGTATTAGTCGCAGTTCACTAAAGAAAATGTCTCAGATTGCTTTTGAAAAACTCTTAGCGTCACTAGCCCAAAGGCAAGATGTGACCTTTTTATTACATAATGAGAATCATTTATTATCTTACAATGTATCTTAAAGTCACAGACAAAATGCCACTTTGATAATTGCTTTCAATTAGCTTTGAGCATAGCATATATTCATAAAATGTCTTCTCTAATTTAGAGTTGAATTAGAGAAAATTGCAGACATAATCTACTTTAAGGTTGTCTCATTTAAGGTGATTCGTAGTTTTATATCAAAGAAATCAAAACGAGTAGCTTTAGAACAGTCTCTCAAAGTGTTTTAAGCAGGCTTTTCAATATTTGATTCTATTCTATTACCAATTAATTAACAAATTAGAAAGCTAGTTCATCATTTCTGACCTTTTATGCACGTTAACTTTTGACTTTCATTCCTAATGATTGTTTTGAAATTAAGCCTTGTAGTTCGTGTCGAAAGAGAGAAACAATCTGATTAGCAAGATAAATAAGGTTTGCCTTGATAACCAAGTACATCTTCATGCTGGGCTATAACTGGGACTCTGAATATTGTAATGGTGCATCCTTTCCTGCCTTCAATAAATGATACATAACTAATGGCCAAGAAATTATAGTAGATAGTCATGGAGCCTGAATAAGGAGTTTTGGGATGTTAATACAAATGAGGTTAGAAGTAATGTGATATTTATGATGTGAAATCAGCTAATTTTTATTTTTCATTAGTATTCTGAGGATTAGAATATAATTTTAATGCATATTCTTATTACTTTTAAAAATATTTTGAAATAGTAGAAACTTTGAAGCTACATTTTACCCTTGTGGTATTTCAGTAACTCATGAAATATTATTAACCTTAACAGAGATTCTCAGAAATTGGTATTGTATCTGGAGACTACTCTACTCTCTCTCTCTCTTTTTTTTCCTAGATAAAAATCACACACAAGAACCAAGCCCCAATGCTGATGGGCCCTCCTCCAAAAACCGGGTTATTCTGCTCTCTCGTCAAAAGAACAAGAAACCGAAGCAAGGAGTAATCCTGTATCGTTTCATTCTTAGAAACCTAATTAGCATAATTGGGCCATGGAACATTTACACTGGAAATCTTTTCAAGTCTGCTCATGCAAAATCATGGAATTGGTTTAACAGTTTTTGTTACTGAGCTAACGTAAAATTCAGCTATTAGAAAATTTATTGTCTTGGTTTTTATAGGCATCTTTGCATGAGGAAAGCAGAAGTTTACATGAAGTGATATTACATATTTTCGTTGCATGTAATCCCATAGATTTTTATGTCTCCCACCTATCTTTCCCAATTTCCATTTACTAACCTGTGAGGAAAACCTGTGAAACGTAAAAAAAGAAATACCATGGGAAATGTGATTCTCAGTGTGATTCCAATTATAAGTATGTGCTAATCAGTAACTCTAAAATGATTGTAATTGCAGATCGGTAGACTTTTCCCTTTTAGAACCAATGTATCAATGATCTTTGATCTATGACTTGAGGAAAAACTTTTAATTCAAAGATTTTATTAAATAGTTGTCTACAATAACTTGCTATATCTAAATAGTTTTCTTCAACATCTTAACTCTTCTGAGTGGAACTTAAAATATCAGGTATAAAGTTTTCTTGTGCTTGAAAAATAGAAAATCGTTTTAATTTTTCTTTAGTTTTGTTTCTAATTCCGGAAATAAGTGAAAACCTGTTACTTGGCAATAAAGTGTGGTAATATAACAAGCCTTATTCCTTTCTGCATGAGACTCTAGAAGAAAATTTATAATCACATTAGTAACCAAATAGATGTTTTAAACTATGTGCCTAATGAATGTGTTTCCCACCAAAGATTCAGAAAAAGATGTTGGAGAGAATTGGGTTAATGCATAATTAATTAAGCATTGTGGAGCAGATTTATGGTTCTTATGATTAATTTTGTGATGACTAAAATGCTGGAAGAGAGTGAGTTATCTATTAATTATGATTAAAATTCTCACTTTTCACAGACAATAGGCCATACAATGCAGTCAAAGCTCAGAAGCTGATTTCTTGCTTTTTTTTTTTGGTCAATTAAAAATATAAGTGTCTGTAAGTTTTTAATGGATCAGTTATGTACACTAGAAGAAAGTAAATGATTGTATCCATTCCTTTCTAGTAATAATACTGAGTTCATTGAAAGCAAATCATGCATGCAATTAGTCCCCTTGTCCTCATCTACTCCACTCCCATCTCTATGACATTTCAAATGTTTATTTGGAAATAATGGCATAGATCACTGTTTAAGGTGTTCATGGCATGGTTGTATTCTGTGTTTAAAGAAATCATGGAATGGTATTTCCTAGTGTTTCATTAAGCCTGTGCTACAAAATGAAATGCTCTGAGCAGTCTTGGTATTGTTCACTCACGTTGACCTGCATCTGATCACTGCATGTTTTATGTTTTCAAACATGCCACAAGGAAAACAAATGCTTGAAATGCATGATTTATTAGTTTTCTCTCCACTCTGCATTAAAGTGCTAATGATTTATCAGTTCTACTTTTCTATTGATTCATTCATCTTTGAATAACAAATAGCATTTAGTGATTCTCTTGAACACAATCCTGTGCATGGATTTATGGATTTCAAGTGAAATTGCTATAATTTCAGTTCTTTGACTTGAAAACTCTACTGAATGCTGTTTTATCAAATAGCTTCTATCAAGCAATGTACTATGATGGAAGATTACATATAAAGTATATTCTTTTAGTGTTCCAGGAATATTGGATGGTAAATATCAATCAACAATAAGTTTAATTGCTTTAAAAACAAAAGCTTTTGAATAAAATTAAGACATAATTTAGCATTCCCAGGAAAATTATGATTACAATTGCAAATTTAGTACAGCAATCACATGTCCCAGTATTTAAAAAGAAAAAAAAAAAAAAGTTGTTTGGCAGAGCAGTAATCTAGACTAAAAGAAATCTCAAAACAGTAACAAATGCATTACTGACATAATGTTACTTAACCCACACACTGGTTTTGTGTATCTATGGTTACAGGTAATAAATATTTTCACATGAATTGACAAAATTTTCTACAATAGGCAGGCAGGCAGGCTTTGTGTCATAAACACATTTTGAAACCACAAATTATTTTATGTTTGGTACAACATACAATTATTTCTTGGCTACCTTTTATAGTATATGGTTTGAAGGCAGCAACAGTGTGTGAATCATTCTTAACAATCTGTGCAACAGCAAGCTGTTGAATAGACAATGGAATGAGACAAATTAAGCAACCTGCCCATAAGATTTCAAAAATTCAAATAATGGGATGCAGCTCCACTTTGATGTAGCTGTATAACTACAGTGAGTGCTAATAGTGGTTACATTTTCCATCAGATGGATTCATGGGTACTGATCATAAACATTCAAATATTCATCAAATTTGTCTTTTCTCAACTCATTTCTTAAAGATATTGATGTGCTTGCCCTTCAAGTACACTACTCCTGGGGTTTGGAAAGTAGTTTTTAAAACCTGGTTTGATGGTTTTGAAATTAGAGAAGATATTCTCTAATATGACAGTTTCATTTGAAAAATGTATATTTTAAGGAAAATTCTAAATTGAAAGTTCTATGGTATATTAAAATTTTAAATAATGAATGTTAGCTTCACAAGATGAAAACTTTTCTTCTATGTGAGTGGGTGAGTGAGTTGTTGAGTTAACCTCTTTTAAATATAGTAGACATTGTGGTATAAAGCTTTGAGTAGATGAAGCTCTTAAGTGAAAATTAACACTGGACCTAGGGAGTAAGTTCAGTTTTAATTGGACTTACCAAGGGGAAAAGAGGTATGCACTGTGCTGAATATTGCCATACACTACGATGGTAAACAATGAGAAATGCCAGAATAAACCTACTTCTAAGAAATAGAAATGGAGGTGTCTATGTAGAATCAGAAATGTTAAAGGATATAAATGTATTTTTCCACTTCCATGTGTATACCATGTATATTTGATGTGAAAAGTACTGGTCAATTTATTCCAATGGAAGGTGATACCTTCTAGAAAGTAAAAAAAAAAATAACATTGTAAAACAGTTTTCAGCTTTAAACAAGTCATGTAATCATAGCCAGAGTAAAATAAAAGGCTTAGATGGTTGGTGTAAGAAGAGATAGTCCATTGCAGGCAGATATGTAAATCCAGTGAGGACTAATGAATCACGTGCATGTTTCTGCATTTTGTTACATTTTCCTTTTTTAGGGGATAGGAAGCGATTGGAATTTTCAAGGAAAAACCTGTTTTGAATCTCAGACTGTATTCTATTAGAAAGAGAAGACTTTTAGATGGCTCTATTCCTTTTTCTGTCAGCATTAGTTTGTTGCCCATTGGTTATAAAAAGGAAAATGGACTTTTCATGACATATAACCCCCAAAGAGTTATTCAATACCAAACTTATACTTTCCATTAAAAGATTAAACTCTTGTAAGATACATTGAGGTTGTAATATTTAAGAAAATAGAGACCAGTAAAAGAGCTTTCATTTTGCGAAAGGCAGAAATCACCCCTTAAAACTCCCAATTAAATTGTACTGTATTTAAATAAAGTTTGAATAAACTTACATTTGAAAGATTCTATACATTCTATTGTGTTTAAAAACATGGGATTAATTTAATTACAGTATCTTGATTATTTTCTCAGAAAGTGATATATACAATATCCTACTTTTTGAAATAAAAATGTTAACCACTCGGTTAAGTGTCATTTCTTACGCCACTTTGGCCAGATTTTGTCTCAAAATGGACTCTTCAAGCAGTTCAACAGTCAACCTACCCCAGTGATTTCCACTGGGGGCACCAAGCCAGGCACCCCTGCCTTTCATCAGAGAGAAAGAAATCTGGGTATTTGGGGACTGAATTCTGTGTTATTAGAAACCCAATCATTCCACTTTGTGGTGCTTTGGCCCCCAATTTGCTGTTGTGAACATTATCCCAGCAATTTCATAGATTCCAAGTAGGCCAACAAACTGCATGTTGGAATTGTGTATTGAGTTGAATTTTCTCGATGAAATCCATTTCTAATTTTATTTCGTGTAACAGATTTCAACAATTTCTCTTGGGCATTGACTAGGTAAAAGATTTTTGCAAAGGAGCTGAAGCAATTTTTAAAAAGTTTAAAAGGACACAATTTCTTCTCTAAATGTCTTTGCATCTATTAGAAGAGTTAAGTAAATTACTGACCATATTACATGAGTGGAAAAGGTAATGGCTTTTTGAAAAGGTAGAATTTTATGTTGGGGAGAAAAGTAGAATTAAGGAAATTCAGAATAAGAGAAGGTGAGTCAGAGCTTGATACAAAAAATAAAGTCCTAAATGCTTTGTTACTTCATTTCATTAAAAAGTTGGGGAATTTATAAATGAAGCATTTGAATAATGCTTCTACATAAAATTATTAGGAAAAGAAGGAACAGGAGAAGAAGGGAGAAAGAGAGAGGGAGACAAGGAAGCAAATAAGTAAGGGAATGAAGGAGAGAATAAGGGCAAACTCCAAAATTAGAATTAAAAATCTGCAAGAATTAATTTCACATTTCAGAAGAGAGAATTGAAAAAATAAGCAATTCTCAGGTATTCTTACTTAATTTGTAACAGAGGTATTAAATAAATTAAAATGCCATCTCATCTCATAGAATGAGTAGAAAAAAATAATTCAATTCTTACTATTACAGTGGAAGCCACAAGAAGATTCAGAACCATAAGAAGTATTATTGACATGAAGAGAGTATTGTTGAAACTCAATGTTACCTAAAGACCGTATATTTAATAGGGAAGTTGTTGCAAGAGTTTGGTCAAAACACAACTCAGAGACATGTGGTATTCATCTACCAACAACTACATCAAATGAAAAATCACATCAGCAACCTCCAAAACTCAACAAGTGATTTGAAAATCACTAGAATAATTGGATAGATTATTTGAACAAAAATGAATACCATTTGAGGAATAGATAAGTAGATAGATAGATAGATATTTTCTTCAGAGAACTGAAAAGAATTTTAAAACATTTTTGATCCATAGACCTAATAATATTTTTATACAGGATATTGAATATTTCAAATTTCAGCCCTGGCTCATTAGCTTCTCTTTCTCCACCTATCAGTTAAATAATACTCTTTCCACCACATCTTCACCAACCCTCTTCTTTTGTTCTTCATATACATTTCTTTATATTTTTTAGATAATCATCACCCCATTCACGGTTTTAAATATACCTATGTGCCTAGGATTCCCAGATCTATATCTCCAATCTAACCTTTTTTGAACTCAGCCTATATTTTTACTGCCCATTCCTACATCTTCACTTGAATGTCCCACAGCCATATTGTATTAGTCATTTTCTGTTGCTTGTAACAAAATGTCTGGAACTGGATGACTTATAAAGAAAACAAAATTTATTACTTACAGTTTCAGAGGCTAGGAAGTCCACAATCCATGGAACACATCTGGTGAAGGCTTTCTTTGGTGGTGACTTCAGTGACAGCAAGGTATCACATTGTGAAAATGGCAGAGCAGAGAGAGGGATAGTTCCTCATGCACTGTCTTTTTAAAGCCCTCAGAACCACACCCATGACCACCATTTTTGATCCATTTACTACAGCATGGTGTTAGAATCTAATCACTTCTTCAAGTCCCCACCTTTCAATTGCTGTAAGATTTTCCATCCTAAACAGGTACAGTGGGGATTAAGCCTCAATGAGGTTCGGGGGGTGGGGATCCAATCCACGGCACATATTAAACTAAAAATCTTTAAAATAAAACTCACCTCATCTTCCAATTTTAACCTGTTCCACCTCCTGTATAACTTTCTCATTGAATTTCACCCGCGCACACTTACTGTCTCAAGTCAGAATGACAGGAAAATTCTCAGCCACTTTTTTCTACATCACCACTCCTATCAGTCCCATCCTCTCTACTACCTTAATAGTTAAGAAGTCCATTCTCTCCTCACTACCCCCATTTTCCTTGTTCAGATCCCCATCATTTCCTGCCCAAATTATAGCTGTAGCCAGGGGTGGATCCACATTTTGTGGGTCTTGAAGCTCATATAATTTAGTAAGAGCTGACTAGATATATAGAGATAGATAGATATGAAATTACAGTTAATAATGTGTGAATACTGGTTCATTAATTGTAATCAACAAAACACACTAATGAAAGATGTTAATAAGAGAAAACGTGGGTGGGGCAAGGAGGTATATGGAAACTATTTGTGCTTTTTGCTGAGTTTTCTCTAAACTGAAAACTGCTTTTAAAAAAATAGAGAGAGAGAGAGAGAGAGAGAGAGAGAGAGAGGAGAGAGAGGACTAATACCTTGGCTCACTTCCATATTTTTTTCTTTTATTTTTGGCTGTACCCTTCCTTGTGAATGCCATTTTATAACATTTTTCTACATTTTATAACAGAGAGATTGTGAAGATAACTCAGTTTTCACTCTGGGATGGTTGCACAAGTTTTAACTGATAGTTTAGAAATTTATTTTGGCTTCCTAACTTCTGTTAGTAATGCCACAATAGTAATCCTCCTAAAGTCCCTTGCCCAGGTGGTGCCTCAGAAAGTTTTAGCCCTTTGACCTCACTAGTCATGGTCCAGCTCATTCGGTTCCTCACAGGGCCAGAAGGACAGGTCAAAATGGCCACTAAGCATGGAGGATAGCACTGTGTCTGTGGGGCCTTTTCACGTGGAGTCAAGATTTGTTGCAGATGCCCACTTAGGCTACTCAGGGTATTGTCTGGAGTTTTGGTGGATGTGGTAGCCTCCCGCGTGGGCCAGCAGTCTATGACTCTGCCACGCAACTGGTGGGCCATTACCTCTTCCTTGGATTCTCCAAGTTTTGGAAAAGGCTCATGCAGATGAGGAAACTGGAAGTTGCAGCTTGAGAACCTCATGATAAATCAGGCTTTGGGAGCTGTAAGAGGGTTCCTGGAACAAAAATATAAACTTTAAACCCAGCTGTCTATTGGGTTTAAAGAAGCTTTCTCCTGATACAGAAGATGTATCAGGAGAAAGCTACTCAATCTCTGTAAGCTTCAGTCTTCTCATCTGTCAAATAAGCATAAACACAGCACCTGTTTTCAGGGTTGCCATAAGGATTAAATAATGAAAATTTTCAAAATCATTTTCTACTAGCAAGCACTCAAATCATATCTTTTAGCTGCAAGGAAAATAGTAATCGTATTAGTAATAGTAATAGTTGTGGTAATAGTCCTAGCAGCAGCAGTAAGTTTCTCCTGTTCCTACTTCAGTCCTTCCTCTACAAGGCCAACTGTGTTTTTCCAAGAAGTAGGAGATATCCCTTATTGGATCATTACCTTTTGATATGATAAAAGCTCAAAATCCTTAGACAAACAAAGGCTTTTATGAGCAGGACCTTGTCTACCTTTCCTGTATCCTACCCCCTTTCTTCCCCATATTCAAAATTAGCTCTATCTATGTGGTTCTGCATTTCACCCACATACACTATGTTCTTTCATGTGCAAAGTACACTAATTTTGCACTTTGGCAAATTTAACACTCATTGCCTCATCCTCTCTCTCTCTCAAGGGTTGGTTCACCTCCTTTGGGAGAATGTCTGAAACCAATCTAACCCAGACTTCATTAGGGTGACTCTTCCCATTGAGCCTCTTTTGCACCCCCGTATGACTCTGTGATAACTATGGTAAAGTTTTTCTTACTCTGCTTTTAAATAGATACTTGTCTGAGTCTCTCATTAAACTGTTGAGTCACCTGAAAGCCAGTCCTGGGTTCTATTCACTCTCTTCCCCTGGGGCCATCCCATATTAGATATTCAATAATATTTGAATGAATAAATAACCAAAACAATTCTCAAGTTGCAATAAAGTATATTACCTGTTTCAGAAGAAAGTATATAAAAAGAAAAGGAAGATAATCAGTCTGTATTTGGGAAATTATAATAAGTGGATGTCAGTACCACAGAAGAAATATTTTTATTATCCCTTATAAACTTTGACTGAATAAACTTACTCTTTATCCTGATGTTCTCCTTACCTTTTGTCACTTTTCCTTATGCAACAGTCCAATGTTTCCAACTTTTCAGTTAATTCAGTAGCTCATATGGCACACTTTACCTTATAGTGGCTCTCATTGGTCCAGTACAGTGTCTGCATGTCTCTAGTAGGGTTGAGAGTCATAGATAGCTGTCTTCAAGTCTTTAAGGAATGCTGGGGAGGTGGTAGACAGAATAATGGCCCCCAAAAGATATCCACATCCTAATGTTTGGAACCCGTGAATATGTTATGTTGCATAGCAACAGAGAATTTAGGTTGCAGATAGAATTAAGGATGATATTATCCGACTTTAAAATAAAGAGATTATCCTGTATTATCTTGGTAGTTCCAGTGTAATCCCAAGGATCCTTTAAAGTCAAAGAAGGATGCCGAAGAGGGGCTGAGTGTCAGAGAGAGATTTGAAGATGCAAAACTGCTGGCTTTGAAGACGATGAAAGGGAAACCTCAAGCCAAGGAATGCAGGTGGCCTCTTGAAGCTGTGAAAGTTGAGAAAGCAGATTTTCCGCTAGAGCCTTCAGAAGGACCACAACCCTGTCAACACATTGATGATTTTAACCCAGTGAGACCCATTTTGGGTCTGACCAGCAGCCCTGTCAGATAATAAACTTGTGTTATTTAAGCTACTAAATTAGTAGTAATTTGTTACAGTAGCAATTGGAAAGTAATAGAG